ATGTCATGCATTCCTTCTCCGAACTTTAGTAGTTTCATTTGAATACTTGGGTGGTTGAGATTATTTATGCTATTTGCAGTGAAGAGTTTAATTCTGGGTTTGGTTCTCATACGCCGATGGTACTCGGACAAGCTAAAGTAGTGCGCTACTTCCCAAATTATGAAAGGTAGAGTATGCATGGAACGTTAGATTTTTCCTTGTATTCAATTATGACTTTTCTCATTACATGGAATGATCAATTTCTAATATGCTGCTTCAGAACCCTGAATCTTGCAAAGACCATCATCAAGGATAAACTCTCTGTACGCAGCAAGGCAGATAAAGTTATTGATCTATCTAAAGATGAGAAGATAGAAAAAGTCAGTTTCCCTTTCTTCTTGCATGAATGATTCTCGTTTTGACATTGTTGTCTTACTGTAACTGCCCACGGGATGCAGATTATGCGTGCTGAAACGTGTGAAGAGCTACACAAAATTGTTGGTGAGGACTTCTGGGTGGCTACTTGGTGCGACAGTAACGCATTCGAAGGGTAGATTTTTTGTTTATTACTATATAAACCCACAAGTTTTCTCTTCACTGTTGCAGTTATTAATAAATTTATTTTTTTCTTGACTTTGCTTATATCTTCAGGAAACGCCTTGAAGGAACTAGAATCACCTGCATTCAAAAACCGTAAAACTTTTCTTTTATGCAGTTGATTTCACAGAAATCCTGATCACCACTTTCTTGAACAAATTTCTCTTTGTCTTTTTATTCAGGGGAAGGCTTGGGTACGATTTCGCAATTCGAACTCCATGCACACCTGCGAGGTGGAGTGATTTTGATGAAGAAATGACCTCAGCTTGGGAGGTAAGACCTAAGCATACGCAAAACATACATATATTTTTTTCTTCTGAGAAAACAAACTCAAATGTCCATCTGAATCCACAGGCTTTATGCAACGCCTATTGTGGAGAGAGTTACGGTTCTACGGAACTCGAAGCTCTAGAAACCGTTAGAGACGCTATCTTACGCATGACATATTACTGGTAAAATGACAATGACAATGACAACTTAACATATGATTGATCACTCTCACTCAGAACATGTTTGGTAATTGATTGCAAGCACCTGTTTTTTCGCAGGTACAATTTTATGCCATTAGCTCGAGGAACCGCGGTAACGGGATTTGTAGTGTTACTAGGACTTCTGCTAGCTGCGAACATGGAGTTCACTGAGAATATCCCAAAAGGGCTACAGGTCGATTGGGAGGCTATACTTAACGTTGAACCGGGTTCCTTTGTTGGTTCGGTTAAGTCTTGGTTATACCCATCCCTGAAAATCAACACGTCGTGGAGAGATCACCCGGATATTTCCTCGGCTTTTTCAACAACCGGATCGGTTGTCGCCGCACTTAGCACTTACAACGATAATTGAGTTGAAGAAAGCTAACCAACCATGAGCAGTAAGATAACTTGTGTTTCAGTCATAAATCTTCGGCTTATGATTTGTTTCCTTTTAAAAACAAAAACAAAACAAAAAGAAAGCTTTGATAGGGCCATATTTGTGTTTTTTTCTTGACATTACTCATGTTCTATTTTATTTTATAGCTTTAATAATGTATTTTAATATGATCTCTCTCGTCTTAAATTACAAGTCAGCATAAGAAACGAACACTCGGAATTATTTTGCTTATGATTTACGAAGCCTTGTACTACTAGTCAACAAATTATGGCATAAGCATTTTCTTTCTTTCTCTTGCTTCTTGCATTTTCCCCATTTGCGTTTGGTAAATGGATTTCCCCATATCAACATCCTATGGATTTGTCTTGGGATAGCAATTAGAACTAGGGCTGGGCAAAATATCCGTTATGTGTTTCGATCCGTTATCCGTCTCGATTCGATCCGAAAAATCCGGATATCCGTAATTTTATGGAGCAAAGCAAATATTAAAATTTAATATCCGTTAAAAACGGAGCAAATCACAAATACTAAAATAAATTAAGACGGATATCCGCTCCGCTCCGATATAAATATATATGTATATATAGATAGATAATAATTCATATAAAATGTATAATTATTATATATAAATGTAATTTTTATGAGTTTTTTTATAAATTTGATTATTATAAATATTAAAACTTAATAAGTTAAGTAAAAAAATATATTTTTAAAGAAAATATTGTCATTTTTAGCTAAATTTTGATTTTTTAAAATTTTATTTAAATATATTATTATTTAAATATTTTTATGGGGCGGATCGGATATCCGACAAATATTCAAATTTTTAGCGGATATCCGAAAAACGGATATTCGGATAGTTACGGAGCGGATACGGATCAGAAACATGATTATCCGGACGGAGCGGAGCGGATCACGGATATCCTCAAAATTCATGATATCCGCTCTGCGCCAATCCTAATTAGAACCAAATTCAGTTTTGATAACAAAAACAAAAGCAAGTGTTATTGTTTGTTAGGTCATGTTCTTGGATCTCCCTATTTTGTTTGCTAATTTTGTCCGACTCCTTTTTTTAATGCTAATTTTCTGACTCGTCTGATTGGCACCACCACCTATACCGTGATCAATATATGACCGTTGTATGTTCTGAAAATTAATCTCAAATATTGTTCATAAAAATTCGAGTCACATTTATCGTTTGCAACAATCGTCAAAGCCTAAAAAAATTCGATAACACTTGCTAGGATTTTCTCCACCGACACGCGCCGCTCTCGAAGTTTGGACTTTTCGTCATTGTCTTTACTTTGGAATTTGCAAATAACAAATGGTAACGTTAACATTAAGTATGGCAAGTCCAAAACGTGTCTTGCTTTTCTAAGTCCTGAAAAATAAACTAGAGAAAACGTTGTGAATACTTTTTAATATTTCCAAATAGTCATTGAAACAAGGATGCAACAAAGCAAAAAGAAGAAAAAAGAAATAAAAATCTTAGCTCCCAAGCAATACATTTCGTTATTGGTTCGACGGTTTGATTCTATTTCATATTGATTACTCATGGTAAATTGCAGAATTTTATCCTTAGCTATATATAAAAAAAAAACAAATCATATTGATGAGGATATTAAAAGGTTTTGAAAGAGAAAGAAGGAGCCAAGGAGGTGGTAGTTGTTACAGCCAGTCGCAGTGGAAATGACGGTGACAACAAATTAGCTGTAATTTTTAAATAATAAATACCAAATATGTAAGACAAGGAAAGTAAAATTACAATGAGAAGATATAAAAATTAGAAAAAGATTATTTATATAATGAAAGTCCCAATCACTAATTAAGGGAGATCATAATTTACAGGTAAAGACAAGATATAGCCGTGTGGGCACCAATCCAAATTCAATCAAACAGCTGTCTCTCTTTCTATATCTTCCGACCAAAGACTCTTTTTGTTTACGGTTTCATTTTTCCTTTCTTATCGTCGAATTAGATTACATTGTCTTTTTCATTTTTTTTGGAGACTACATTTCTTACTTTGCATTCGAGTTTATTAATCTTTTTTATTAATAACATAATACTCCATCCATTTTATAAAGAGTATCGTTCTGACATTTTTGTGAATAAGATAAAAAGTCTCTTATATCCTTATTAATTTACAGAAAATGACTCTTAAAATTATATTTATAATTAATTTTCTGAATTTATTAAGGTTAAAAATAATATTTTATGTTAAAAATTACATTGAAATTTAAAACGACATTTTTTTTTAAACAAAATAAAGTGTCAAAACGACACTTTTTATGAAACGGAGGGAGTAATTTTTTAGTAAAATAAATTTCGTAATTTAAACTTTGTAGACCGTGATACAGCCTATCGTACAAAATGTAAAATCAGTCAATTACAATTGTGTGAGCATTATCATTTTCAAATCCAATTAGTATAATCACTTAATTTTGAAATAGATATTTTCCAATATAAATTAATGTTGTATCCGACGATCACAGATAACCTTACCCAAATTCGAATTGAAATTTCACATGCTATAAAATACCTACCATATGCATATATATATATATATATATTTAACTCATAACAAGACAGATAAAAAGGCAAGAGAATCTTTTTTTTTTCCCAAAAACAAAGCAACCAAAAAAAAGAGAGAAAAAATGTACTCCACATTGTAAAAGAAAATACAAAAATAAAGTTCTTGAGCCCCACATTACAACCGATACATGTTATTATGATGCTCTGTTCCAACGGCTACATCTGTCTAGGGTCCCTTTTGTCAATCAACGGTCCAGATCTCTTCTCATCGCCTATAAATATAAAAACCACACTTCTCTTTCACCAAAACAGCACAGTTTGATAAGAACTACAAGTTTCACTTATAGTCTCTCTTTCCAAATTCTTTTCTTCTCTGATAGAAATTCGAAAAAAAAAAAACAAATTATGGAACGCAATTTCCTCCTAACGATTACATTGATCTGCATTGTCGTTGCCGGTGTCGGTGGCCAATCTCCGGTCTCCACTCCAACTACTTCCCCTGCTAAAGCCCCCGCCGTTACTGAAACTCCGGCGAAAACTCCGGCTTCTTCACCGGTCGAGTCACCTAAATCTCCGCCTCCGGCTCCTGTTCCCGAGAGCTCTCCTCCGGCTCCTTCACCAAAAGCTTCTGCTCCAGTGAGCTCTCCACCGGTTCCAGCACCAGAAGCTGATACTCCTCCGGCTCCGGTAGCCGCTCCAGTTGCCGATGTACCGGCTCCGGCTCCGAGCAAGCATAAAAAGGCGGCGAAGAAGCATCAAAAAGCACCGGCTCCGGCTCCGGAACTTGACAGTCCACCTGCACCACCGGCAGAAGCTCCTGGACCTGACTCCGACGCATCTTCTCCCGGTCCGGCCACATCCGCCGACGATCAGGTACATTAGCCTTAAATTTCAATAAAAAATGATGAAATTCGAAAGCCAAAGTATGAATCTTCCTATTGCCATTTTTAATTATGATTTAGATAACAAGAAAAAATAATTAGTCTAGTTTTGGTTTAGGATCTCTCCGGTTATAGAAAGCAATTTTGAGATTTTACATCTGGAATTTTTAGAGACATTCTCCACATTTAAACATCCATTTCAATTTTCGTTATATTTTTTTGTAATTTTTATATGGAATTAATGCAGAGCGGAGCAGAGAGCACAAGTGCATTGCGGAATGTAGCGATAGGAGCGGCTGCAACCGCGTGGGCCGTTCTCGTTATGGCCTTCTAAATTATTTATTTTTTCACTCCTTAATTTTTTTTTTTTTGACCTTACCCATTGTCACTTTCTTTACGAATTTGGTATGAGTATTATTTAATTTATTATACCGTTTAATTTGTTTCCTTTTATTTTATTTATAATTATATACGAAAATAATTATATACGAAAAAAGAAGTTGAGATCTGTCAGTGATGATTTTGTTACTACAAATTGATTATTCTTTTCTTTTGCAGACAATTGTCTTTAGTGATGGGTCCGAGTCCTTAACTGAAAATGACACATACAAAATTAATATAGAACTAATACATCTTATATTATGTATAGTTGGATACTATCTTGTGATTGTGATTGTGAATTGTGATGTGTGAACGTCTATAACAAACTAATCCTCATACTAATGCAGTTGTGATTTGTGAACGTCTATAACAAAAGCAAAACAGTGCCATAAACTTTGTATGAATGTTTAAATTATTAGTCAATGAAATTTGCATTGTTAGTAAAATCACTAAATATACCGGTACCGGACGTTTGTATCATGTAATGAAACAATAAGTTCTACAAATTTTGACCTTTGTTTACAATGTAGTATATAAAATTTGGATAGTGATAATACTAACAATTATTTGCAATGTAAGGGATTGATGTTGCCATGTTAAGGTTTTTTTTATGAAAAAGAACATAATTTAAGTAGACTCGACTTGGTATTCAAGGTATTTTCATCAGACAGAAACATTTACATTTGAAAATATTTTTACGCGAATATGAAAGTGTCAGCTACTTAGTTGGATCTTAGTTTTAAAAAAGGTAGAAAGGGTAATTCATACCTGTCAAGTAATTAAACTCAAGTGGCCAAGTTGCTATAAATGAACTGTCTAAAATTTATGACTGGACATGAATGGATGGATCCAATAATATAAAACAATGTTTATTTGTTGTATCTGTCCAAGCAGCTAGAATCATATGTTTGTCTTCTTATAAGAGAAATAGATTTGAAAACTTCATATTGACATATGATAAAATGGTGTGAGGGAAAAGTAAAATAAATTGATTTTTTCCCCCAATACTAAGACTTATTACGTAAAAAGAAAATAGGGGAAGGAGCTTTAATCAAAAGTACATTACTCCATTGTCAAGAAATGAAAAAGATTCACAGACGACGCAGTTTTTAAGCAAAGGTAAGTTACAAAGACCTAGAGAAATAACATCTCCAGACGTAACAGAAAAAAAGAATTAAAGAAAATGCTTTTCTCTTTTTGTTTTGTGTTTTAGTGTGCCATGGGATAATTGATATTTCAATAACACGGTTGGAAGCTTTTGCGGGAATCTGAACAAAAGCTTTCATTTTTCAAATTAATCTTATAACAATTCTGACTACTAATTGATACAAACTAAAAACTGATATGATGATAATATTGGTCTCTAATCCAAAAGAAGATGTATGAATCAAAAAGGCTAAAAAGTTTTTGTAATAGTTAACCTTTAGAGAAAGCACAAGTTATACGTAAACCAAGGTCATGTGTATGAGATTTCAAGATTCTTGCCTTCATGCAACGACCCAAACCCACCAAGCCAAGTCAATGATTCCCCCTCATCAATACAAATATGTGTATTCACATACAATTTCCTCTCTTAAAAGATTAAAAAACTTCTAGACAATATGGGGGGTTCAATGGGCTTTCTCGGCAAAGGTTTTGCATTTCTTTAACCTAGCAATTAACGACATTAATTATATTAATCCGATCGTTTAACAATACTCGTTTCTGTTGATTTGGGTATATGGCGTAGGGGTACCACCGACGCAGATGATGAATATGGTAATGGGTTCACTCTACAAACAATTCACCCAAAAAGCTATCAACAACTTCGACGATTTCCATGTTGCTGTTTTAGACATCTTTAAGTAAGAATACTCATCAAGTCTCAACTTCTTAGTCATATATAATTGTTGTAGTCCAATAATTCCATTTTGATCAGTCGTCGAAACAATGGTTTATTATCTTTAGAAAAATTCTGGTTTATAAACTCCGGAATTAGTCTAAGTTATGGCCAGTAGTTTTTACATAATAACTGTATTTTGATCTATTGAATGTATAGCAACTTCAACTCGGCTTTACCAGGTCGACACTTCGATTTCCCGACCCCGGAAGAAATAAAGGCAAGTCCTTTCCTCGACACAAAGAAACTTATGAATTGTTTTTTTTTTAATTTTTAACACAATAGATATTTGATTAATTAGGATTGTTTCGTGCGGTGGAAGGAAGCGAAAGACGAAGAAGAGAAGAAGAAAGTGTTCGTAGAGTTCATTACAAAGAGAGTCAGTCCAAGTAAACTCGATGACGTCACTTTGATCACCGGAATAGTATCTCCGCCGGCGGCTATGGCCGCTAAGAGAGCAGGAGAGAATGTTCCTCAGCTAAAATTAATCAAACTCATACCTGATGTTATATTCGTCCCTACCGTCACCATTTTGGCCATTGTCTCTGCCAAACTCTCAAGAAGAATGTATTTGAAATAATGATTTAACCAAACATTCTTAAATCTCCTATTCATCTTTTTTTTTCCATCTCTAGTTCAAGAGATTGCATCGCTGAAAATTAGCAATATTCTGAGTTCCTGTTTTATATATATGTGGAAACAGTCACGAGTTTATGTATTTTGGGACTAAACCACATCAAGTATGAATTTGTTTTGTAAAATTACATAAGTGATCATTTCAAATCTTCATTTAGAACCCCGCCAAATGCCTACAGCTAAAGAAACTAAGTCGGTAATCATCAGTCATGACATTAGATACATTAGAAATAATGGAAAAATACAATTTTAGGAAAATAGAGTGTCCTGATTGGTTATAGTAGATTTAGGTTTAGGATTGTAGAATTTTGTGCTAAAAAATTTATGTTGTAGACTTTAATTTCTTAAGTAGAATAACGCCAATTCGCTTTGAAAATAAAACAGTACAAACAGACAGATAAATTATAGCTGCTGCAGAAAATTTTCATCACTATATAAATTATCAAGGTAGAGAAGCAACGCTCCAAAGTTAATTTAGTCAGAAATACATAAACAACATCATGAGTTTGAATAGATTTGATGATGAGGTTTTTAACACAAAGAGTCAAAACGCTGCGACTCTATAATATAATCTCTCTGTACTTTAAAGCTTAAGGATGCCTAAGAATGAACACACTTTACGAACCCAAGATCACCGTCTCACCGATTTGTTTCTTCAAACTTTCAAGAGTTTTTTAGGATCTTCTTCGTAATCCAGCAGAGCCTGACCTTCGTTTTCCTCGCTTTCTCTTCCTGTTGGTTTGCTTAAACCTAGAAGCCATCATCCCATTTGACTTTGGCTTCTCCCTTGAAACTTTACGCCTCTTTGGGTTAGTCTCTTCCTTAACCACCATATCAAGATTGCGTGGTGTTCTTTTTCTTGCCTGCATTGAGTTAAACAAAGGCATATTAGAAGGCGTAATGGTTTTTTTTTTTTTTTTTTCTGTAGTTCTAATGATTTTGCAGAAACTTACAGGTCTTGATGGACCTTCCTCAACTGGAGTTTGTTCGGTCTTCTGTAGTTTCTTATCGGGAACAACAGCTTTCCCTTCTCTTCGCCTTGAAGCCACAATTTCAGACAATAAAATATCTCCTGTCTCGTCGTCTTCAGGTTGTGTGTCCTGCTGAGATGAAACTGAAGCAGATTTAACCGGCTTTTCTTCAGAAATGACCGGTTTCTCATCTTCGTTCTTGATAGCCAATTGGGGCTTTTGTTGCTCCGAGCTGGTGAGCACATCAGCAGATCCAAGCAGATTCAATGTATTAACCGAAGAGAACCTACTTGGATTTTCATTCACCACCTTGTCTACTCGGTTCTTCAAGTTATTGGCTTCAAGCTTTGCAGCTTCAATCTTCAAAAGTATCTGTTCCAGGAATGCATCACCTTCCCTAAACTCGAGAGGTGGTATCTCTTCACAGAAAACTGCCTCCTCCTTGGAGCTCTTATTCTTTTTATCTGATGACCCAGGATACAAAAATAAAATATTCGTAAGATCAAAATCTTCTAAAGGATTGAGATCACACCAAAAGCTGAGGTTCAGAACACAAGACCTAGGTTGCGGGAGTTATCATTGAGAGCAATATCCGCAAAAGATTTCCGGTATTCTGTAAAGAGATAAGAAACAGTGAAAAGGAATATTTAGACAAGTAATGGCACATGAACACTGAGCACGACCAGAAAGATTAGAAACCAAAACTTGTTCCATACCGTTATAAGAGAAGAGATTATGGTTCAATGCATAGGATTGAATATCCGACGCATCTTCAACTCGCTTTCTTGTTTTCCTCTTCTTGAGTCGGGTTTTCTGAGTATGACATGGAAGAGGAGACAATGCCTTTATCCCAACTTCTTCTGATTCGAGATTTTCCAACTCCAATTGCTTGGCTTGGCAAGATTCTTGGAGTTCTTTGTCGTACATCTCTGCTTGTTTTTGAAATTCTCTGACTTTGAGTTCGACCCATTTGCACCGCCACATTATAGGCTGTATAAACCTCCTCCAATGATCAGTCAGCTTCTTCTTTCTGCCAGTAAAAAAAAAAAAGGAATATAATAAAGAATTGCATACCATTCACACAATACATAGCAAATCTTATCCTGACTTCCTTAAAAGGAGAGATAGATCAGAGACGCAACTAAGTAGTAGTAAAGTAACTCAATAAAACTTTCAGAATCAAGCACACAAAGATGGAATTGATGGTGTTCAATTAAAAATAGACAAGCTACCTAATCCATGAAAAATCTACAAAATTCCAAATCAAGTAGTGGACGTTTTACTCATTCTGATATTGGTTTTAAGCCACAACAAACACCTTCATGGAACCCTAGATTTGGATTACACACGGATCTGCGAGAATAATGCGGAATCCTTTCATATAAAATAACTCGTTCTGAAGTGTGAGAGAGGAGCTTACCTCACCCAGAATGGCAGAGAAGTATCATTACAGATCATGGAATCAGCTTCTTGATCATTCAAAGCTGTTTCATTCTCATCTTCAGAAACCGTTCCACTAAAGGAGCTTGAATACGCATCAGTCCCATCATTGCATTCCGAGAATTCAACCTCATTGTTATCATCAAAACCCGTGCATTCCAATACATCAACTTCCTCGTCGACCTCTTTGTTACTAGAAGCATCACCACCAACACATTGATCCTCAGGGAGATCTTCGACATTATAGAAACTGTGGTCCTCGAAGTTACTGGTACACGGCATAGACTTGTCTTCAACATCTTTGGGTAAGTCCCCGATCTCCTTATTGACCGAGTCATCAACCATTTCTACCTTCGATTCTTTCACCTCCATACCAAAATCCTTCTTTTGATTTCCTCTCAGTTAAACCCTACAAAGTCATCATTTTTAATGAAGAAAGAGACCGAAAATTGAATAAAATTCTCGATCGGAACAGATACGCTTATGCCCAAAATACATATAGATACGCGTCAAAATTGGAAGGACGAAATTGAGGAAGAACAAAAATTGACACGAAACCCTAATGGAAATTCGAAGCTTAATCGTTGATGAGACCGCAATTTCAGATACAAAACAATAGAGCAGAAAACCCTAAAAAGCACAGGAAAAAAAAACGGTAAATTACCAATTGGACAGGTTCACCGAATTTCCCGGCGGATAGAGAAGGAGAAGCAGTAAAGAAGGATTAAAACCGGCGGTGAGAAACGCGACGGAGAAACGACGGAGATCCCATAACCACACCACTATAAAATCAGTGGTCGACGATTTCTTATGGCCGAGAGTCACTGTTTCTTTTGGCACTTTATCCTCTGATATTATCAGTGGGGGTCTACTCCACTCGACAACTTTGACTTTTTTTTTTTTTTCGGACTCTTCTCTTTGACAAAAAAAAAAAAATGTTGTGTTATGAGGTTATCTATTTGAAATTATTGTACACATTTTTGTAATCTTTTATCCAATGAAGATATATTTCCTAAATCATGAATATGGACCAATTAGAAATATTGGATTGTGTCATAATATATTCCCTAGTTCAATATGGCAATGTATCAAATTTAGTTAAGAAATCAGTTCTTGTTTTCATTCATATTACAAATCTCGGTATATTAAATAAAAGAAAAAAATGTGGATATATGAGAATCTCGATATGTGAGAATTTTTATTATTGTATAGATCTTACATGGAATGAAATCAAATGTTCTTTCTTACCAACTATCTCTTAGTATTCAAGTGAAAGAAAGAAGAAAAATACACATACACACAAAATACATATATCACACAAGACCACATTAGTAATGCAAAACCTCAGTTCAGTAGCCATGTCCGGGCGATTCAATGTCGTTGATTCCTTAGATAGCTTGTGCCTGCACAATTGAAATATATTTGTCAACTACAAATGTAAACGAAAAACTTCTTTGCGTTTGCAACTTTGACGTTTATATTCAAATATAAATACCTTTTCTCAGCTTCGGAGGGTGCTCGGATCGAGATAGAGCGACGAGCGGAGGAATCACATGCACCTTCTTTAAGAGCCATATCACAAAAGCGATCGCTGTTTTTAGCAAGTTGAAGAAGAGCGGTTGTTGCGTTTTCTTTCCCCTTATCAGAACCTAATTCAACAACGTCAACAAGAAGAGAAATCCCACCTTCTTGACCAACTGCTGGATCCATGAGTGCTATAAGATAATCGCACATATTGGGATTGTACAATCGTCGCCTTGTTCTCAACATGTATCGAGAGATTAAACAGCGTGGTAACTGCGTCTTTCTTACCGCGAAGTCAGTGTACCGTTACTGATCGAGCATGTCAACAAGCAGTCTAACAACGACTGGTCTGGTCGAGTGATTGCCATTGAGAAATGTGTATGACTCGGAATCGATATGGTCCAGTGATCATCTCCTCCCATATATATCACCAAGATTGAGAAATGGCTTTTTGAACTACCGTCCAGTGAATATTTATTATTAGCATTGGTGATATGGGAAGAGATATGATCATGCATGCATGCTTTAATTTTATGCATGTTTATTATTTCTGATGCATGTTAATATTTAATCTAATATTAATTTATTATTTCTTTCTTATGCATGCAAAATCTAATGTGTACATGAAAAAAAAAAATTTACGATCTACTTTTAATCATAGATTATTTATTTGATATAATATACTCATTAATTTATATAGAAACAAATATACAGGACGTAATTAACAGTTACCATTCATACATTGATTTTAACATATCCATAACCCAAAGCATACACACAGCTAGTTAACACAGACAGATTAATTCTAAAATATATATCATTTATGACATGTGGGGACAAGAGTTGGATTAAGAAAATAAAAATTTTATTGAATTAATTGATAATTAATTTTAATTAATTAGAAAGTAAATAAAATTTTAATATAATTTAATGGAAAATCTACAAGTATAGACATGTATAGTCTTTTCCCATACGCCATAACTACTATATAAGTAACTTATAACCGCAACTGTTGAAGCATATTTATATGTTAAGTTTGAAAGCTAATTGCGACTAATAACCATTGTGAAAGGAAGGAGAAACCAGATAAAAAAATGGGAAGAGTGAAAATACAGATGAAAAAAATAGAGGATAAACAACAAAGAAATATCGCATTTGCCAAAAGAAAGAGTGGGCTTTTGAAGAAAGCTTATGAACTATATATTCTCTGTGATGTTCAAATTGCTCTGGTTTTTTTCTCTCCTTCTGGAAAGCTTTTCCTTTTTGATTCCAAAACAAGGTATTCCTTGTAAGGTTTTTGAATAAGTTTATTGGTATGAATGTTAAGAGAATTTTGTTTAAGTTTATTTATTGTCCTCTAGTCATAGTATATTTTTATTTGATCTGATCTCGAAAGCATCGCTCTTCTTGTTAATTTAGTCAATTTTTTCAAAAATATGTTATCAATTTGTATAAATAACGGTTTATGATTATAGGATCGAAGAGACCATACACAAGTATCTCGAGCTGCCTTGCTATAGACGTGGAAGGTAGACTCATGGTGTTAATTATGCATCTAAGAATTTCAAGTAAATATGATATTTTGTTGTGTGATTTTAAAATTTTTTATTTTATTTTATGCATGACCACCATATTATAACCGGTCGGTCCATCCATACAGCCTCAAAGATGAACCGGTAAATATCCTCATAGCAATCAAACCATTTATCCATAATTATTTGCGGATAAATACTGTTTTTATGTAATCATAATTTTTTTCTTCTGGATTGATACGGGTAAATTCAGTTTATACGACGGTGGGTCAATACCATGCGTTTGGAATCAAGGTATAGTGAATCGAACTTGAGGTTTTTGTATTCATATATTGTAAAGTTTAAATTGATTCTAATTAGTTATGCCATTGTTTGCTTTATATATTCTAGTATTTTATGACAAGAATATCGTAGTTTAGTTTTTATTTTTATTTTGTGCAGTGAAAATTTTGGCGACGGGGTTCGTTATCAAACTCCATCAAAGGCATGTGGATAGACAAAATTTCTACAATATTAAGAAAAAATCAATTATTTAAAAGATTTCATGTATAAAAAATCAAAATATGCAAGTCTTTTTTCTATTTAACCATCCAATTTTCTCTAAATTTAGGATATCGAAGATGAAATCCGCGAATACAATGTCAAACTGGCCAACGTCGAAAAACAGCTGGGGTAAATATATTATTTTATACAAACGTTTATTTTTCTTTAAATTATCTGTAATTATATATACATATATAATGATATTCTATATATTTATAAATATTTATTTGATGGATAAGGATATTGAATTTTTGTATATCTTTAATACTAGTTCTTCTCATTTCTTTTCAAAATTCAGGTATTTTTTGAAAAATCCAAATCAATGGGAATCTATAGATGAAATTGCTTATCAAGAGAAATTACTCCAGAAGACATTGGATGAAATTCGATCTCGGAAGGTAAATTTATATAGATACCAATTATTTTCGAAAATTACCTTTTTTATGTCTTTTGAAAATTATATTTAAAGTTAAACAATGAGCATTTTGACCGTAAAGCATTTTGTATATAATTCTTTTTACGGTTTCACGTTTCACATATAGAATTACATTGTTGACATGATTTTGATATTTATTACTGTATAAAAAGACTAACATCGAACCATCTCATTTGTTAAAACTCAGTTTCTAGCATCTTAGTATATATCTTACATAGAAAGTAAAAACATTAGTAAGTTCAGTATGCTGTTATTTTAATGTCAAACTATTCTACTATTAAGATGTCGTATGTATTCTAGTTGATTATTTGCTTATTTCTATTTATTTTCTTCATTTCAGCAATATTTGGAAGTTGAAAGTAAACATTTGGATATCTCTAATTAGCCTCTTCGGACTAACTTGGAGATTTCATCAATAGAATAAACATTTATCGTGGATTTCAATCAAAATTTATATGAATATATCTATCTGATAATAATGTTGATATCATTTGTATCCAGATTTATAGACCCTTTCCCTTTGTCTATTTCTAAAAAAAAATATTTTAAACTTATGTTATTGAAAATATCATATTCCGAACAATTTTGCAATCATCCCAACATAAACTTTAAATTACTCTATAATAAATTGATTTAAATTCGTTTGCATTACTCTTAGATTCAATCATCCAATATGGATAATATTCACGCAGTTGTATCAAAATTACATCTCCTCTTATCGTGCCAAATATATTAACAAAACATAATCTCTTAATTTAATATATGAACCATATATAGGAAAGTCTCTCATTTGATATTTTGTATCCTCTTAGTCTGTTTTACTAAGATTATGAACCTTTTTTTTTTGTTCCAACACCTCCATGAGCTCTATATGAGTCTCCCATGGAAGCTGGTGATGAACACAAAATTGTGTCAGCTCAATGTGTTATTTTTAAAGCCGACAAGAAAAAGAAAAGACCATTTGCACTTAAAACGAATTTAAATTTTGGGGAGATGTAAAACTGCAGAACATCTCACTGGACGAACGTGAAACAATTAAAACCGGAAAATCAACTCGAAGAAGAAAAAGATAACAGAAGAGAAACTGAAAGAACTTGATAGATGATATAGAAAAACAAGAACAACTAAAAGAGACAAAGAGTTTCAGAGATCGACAGAAACAGAATGCAAAACCTTGTAGCGACCTAAGAAAGGATCAACGATCATGACGAGACTGGACCACTCAATGTTGCCCCAAATCTCGCCTCCTTGGCGTCTCTCCAAGGAGATCTCGGCATACCAAATCTCAAGATGATCCCCCTCGGCGACGTCCCAAAAGAGCACAATGTTCCCACCAGAGCTGCTCAGCCTGGCCCCGGGAAGTAAACGTGCTCTTGTTTTCGGGGTTTAAACCATACAAGGCCTTTTCACTCTCCCAAAGATCAAGCAACTGCTTACCAAAGTGGACCACTCTGGAAGAAAAGAGACCCCAAACCCTTGACCTCCTTTGTCTGCATCATCACCTCAGGTTGACGCCAATCCAACTCATCTGGCTCACACCAAAATATAGTCCCGTGTCTACTAAGACAGTAGAGCAAATCACCAATCATACACCAATCCCTAGGGTTTTCTTTCACATGACCACGATTCCCTCTTCCCCATCGACCTTCACTCGGCGAGTAATAAAAGGTTCGATCCGTTGCATCCACAACGTAAATCTTATCATCCCTATCCACACTGTCGTGGATAATCCTATTGAATCCCTTGCGTCCAGGCATCGGCGGCAACATATTCCAAGTCAGAGTCTCTAGGTCGAATGCCTCTCCCTAGTTATCATCGCACCCTCCTATCACGTAAATCTTCTTGTCGTCAACGAAGCCAGCAGCCGCGTAAGCTCGAGCCACTCTCATGGAATGGAGTCGGCGCCACGTGTGAGTCTTACAATCCAAGATCCAGAAACCCCGACTGCGCTTCGTCCCATTAATCAGTCCACCGATTAAGAAGATCCCCCAAGTCACCACCACCACGGAGGATCCCTCCCGAGGCTGAGAGGGGAGCCAAGGGATCGAGATCAGATCAGCGGAGGAAGCGTCTTTACGGCGGCGGAGGATATACCAACGTGGTTTTGGGTTAGGAGGAGGGGTTCGTAAGCATACGTAGACGTATGATTCGGTGCGATCCATCAGCAATCGGGTATTGTATAGATAATGCGAAGCCACTAGCGAGCGATAACTCTTGGAGGCGAGAGATAAAGCCGCGTGATTCAAGCTCGATAGTCGAGCCAGGCAGTTCACAGCCACTTCCTCCGGCAGCGACGATATTAAAAACGCCTCTTCCTTCCTCTTCTCATCTTCGGAATTCGACATTGACTCAAAGGATTGTTTTTTTCTTTCTTTCCCTGACGATTTTAAAGACTTCTCTCTATACGGTTTTATAGGCTATTAATAACTGACTGACAATCTAACACAAGTAGGAAAGCTCGTATATTTTAGTTTCACGTTTTTATGTTTTGTAATAGATTTCTGATTTTACCTCTCCTATTTCCAAAATTATATTATTTTTTTTTTGCCGTATAAAACACAAACCAATTTCGTTTTTGACAAATAACCAGTTTTGTGAAAATATATTGATCTATATAAATTACAATATATTCACAAGTACCCTTTCTCTAGACGTGACTTCTTCTCATTTTTTTTGTTAAATTTTTCTTTCCTTCTCATTTTATTTTCTTTAGATCTATTTTGTAATAAATAAATAAAAATCCAAGTGAAAAGATATATACTTTTTCGATACATGACATATAATTTGAAGTTTTGAAAACGAACATTAATTTCTTAGACAAATGAAATAACCATATCTAATTTAAAATGAATGGTTCTATATAGAGTAGACTAGCATTATATTTTATTTATTTATATAGTATATATATGTATATATTGTTTATTTATTTATATATTTGTCATTTCAACACTATGACAATTAAAGAGTTCTGATTTTATCAAAACTTTTGAAATAGTACACATTAAAGAAAAATCAATCAAAGATGTTGACTGGAAAAAGAAAATATAGGTACTTAATAAAGTTATTACATTTTTTCTTTTTCACCTATAGACTGCTAAACTAGATTTGAAGTTTAGCCATAATGGGCCTAGGCCTGCACATAGCCCGTAAAGGGTCCATCTTGCGCATACCCAACCCAGCACTCTCCGTCATATCAATCTCTTCCCCTTTCACATTTTCCCAATCGAAGCATTGAATCAACGATCCAAGCGCCAATGTCACGATCCTCCGCCCTAATGCGGCACCGGGACATATTCTCCGGCCGTTTCCGAACGGCATCAGCTTATAAGCGTAATACTCGCTGCCGCATCCATTGTCAAACCGATCCGGATTAAACCTCTCTGGATCTTCCCAGAACTCTGGATCTCTTTGTATAGCCCAAGCGTTAACCAGCACCACCGTGTCGCGCGGTACGTCGTAGCCGCCGATTTTCATGTCTTCAGTCGGTTTGCGTGGGATTAAGAACGGCGCCACCGGGAATAGCCGGAAAGTCTCGGAGACAACGTTCTGGAGGTAAGGAAGGACGGCGATGTCTGGTTCGTCGATCAGACGGTCTTTTCCGATCTTCTCGTCGATCTCCGATCTCGCTTTTTCCAACACTTCTGGATGTTTCAGCAAATTCGTCATCGCCCACTCTAGTGTTACGGCGGAGGTCTCTGTCCCGGCGAGCATCATCGACTGAGTAATTTCGAAAACCAACGGCAACAATCAGGTACAATTTTATTGCAATTTCAAATCAGGTTAGATCGAGAGATATATAGTGAGTGATAAGGTATAGAATTTACCATCATTAGGCCTTTGATGGTGACGTCAGTGTAATACTCTGGTTCTTGTTGTTGCAGAGAGAGCAAATGGTTAACCATTGTGTTACCGTCTTTGTCACTCCTACACTCGTCGAGCAAACGCTGCAATATCTCATCCATGGACTTGCCAAGAGCCTTAACTTCCTTCTCGAACTTGTTTCCGAACAGTTTCAGCACCGGCAAGTAATCAGCCGAATGATTCGCGCCGCTGTACACGGCGATGTCATAAACGAGCTTCTTGAAAAGCTCTGCTTCTTCCTTGTTGTTGACTTCGTCGCCGTAATATCTCTTCCCTGTAACCATCCTTACGATGTTGTTGAACGTTAGATCTGAGAGAAGTGGCTCGAGCTCGATGTGAGTGAAACGGCTCCCGTCGTCTTCGGAGTGAGACCCGACACGTGAGAGGCGCGTGAGCATACGGCGGATCTCATCTTTACGGATGTGGAGGAAATTGGTGATACGGTTGGAGGAGAGGATTTCGTGGGAGCAAATACGGCGGAGGTTACGCCAGTGGGCGCCGTAAGGAGCAGTTCCGACGGTGGTGTGGTTGTAGGCGACGTATTTGGCGGTGAGTTGGAGCGGCCGGCTAGAGAGGATGACGTCGTTTTGGCCGGTGAAGGCTTCTTGTGCGAGTGAAGGTGAAGTAATCACAACGACGCGGCGGGAGCCGAAACGGAGGGAGAAGATTGGCCCGTATTTGTCGGAGTAACGTTGGAGGAGACGGTGGATTGGTGGTTTCATGAGGTGGAGATGACCGACGATGGGACGCGACGGTGGTCCCGGCGGGAGGTTAAAACGGTGTGTTTTGGAGAAGAGGAATTTATAAGCCAAAAGTAGCAGGAATGGGAGAAGGACGAAGTAGTACAACATTTTGTTCTCAAGAGTGTTTTTTTTCTTGACGGCAGTTCTCACTTCTCAGAGTGTTCTTGCTTTTCTGCTTATGCCTGTTTGGTTTATAAATAGAGAAAAAATCTACTCTCAAAGTATTGATTTGTCTTTTTTTTCCTTTCTTTCTTTAGTATTATTTTCTTTCTTTCTTTAGTATGTTTCTATGCTGTTAAAGTTAATTACGTGGAGTTAGTTACTATTTAAAGTTCATTACTTCTAGACGCAAATAATCAAGCGTGTTGTTTTTCTTTCTTTTCTTTCTTTTGTCATGAACCAAACGACGGAAGTTTCGAAATCTCTTTTATTAAACAATTGATGTTTTGAAGAAAAAAATGTTTTGTAATCGCACCCCACATGCTTTGCTTACCGCGAGGTTATTAATAATTTGATAAACAAAGTGAGATTTTTCTTTTATCAAATCAAAAAGTGAAGGAAACAATACTACATTTCAAACAAATGTATTACTATTAGAAAACCAATTAATTTGACAAAAAAGATGCAAAACCAGTTAATTCCACTGACATGCTTGCCGCGAGATGTCAAGAAATTATTAAACAAATTTCAGTTTATAAGAATGAAAAAGAAATCAAAAGCCAAGGAAACAATAATACAACTCACTCATCAATTGTTACAATTATAAAAAAAAACAAAAAAAGAAGAAGAAGAAGTTTTAACCACATCTAGTAGTTTGGAAGTTTGCACCAATCTTATAAAGTTTGGCTATAGTTGTAACTACATTTAGTCTCGTATGCATGTTGGTACATGAACTCCTCTCGAGGATCTTTTCAATGGTTGCATAAATGGTAAGGAAAAAAAATAAAGAAAATGCAGTTTTGATCGTGGATTGATAGGGGTGCAAAAAAAGATTTTACTCATCTAATCTAAAAAATATTTTTAGATTCCTTACACTTAAATTTGAATATCCAAATTTTAAGCGGGTGTACGCGCCCCCATACCTCACATGCTAACTACTTTCAGAGAATTGAATCAGAGACGTAAATAATAACCCATATGTCGAAATCGTATATCTCTATGTCATAATTGTAATAAGTCAAAGACGTGGTGGAGATTTGAAAAAGCTATGTTTGTTAGAAAATTAACAATTTATGCACGTGTTTTTCTTTTCTTATTAATTTGTTAGAATAGAACATAAACCATTTTGTGGTTAACCTCTTTTGAGTTTTAAATCCATGACTCACAGAACCTATGGGCCCATCCTTGATTCCTTGAAGGTATACACGTCATCGCCAAACTAGAAACCTAACTATTTTAAGGTTTCTCAGTTAAATTTACTAACACATTTAAAAATATTTAGGCTTTTTACTCCTAGATCTTTAACAAATTGTAGTAAACCCTGCATATCTTGAAATTTTCATGGAGATCATACAGAATACTGATATACTGCATTTAAAAATTGGTTTTGTGCAATGACTAAAAAAACAAAAAAAAAAGTCTTGTAAGTTTTTGTTTGTTTTTTTCACACATGAACACTAATAATTACGTAAAAGTTTAGCCATAATGGGTCTAGGTCTGCACATAGCACGTAAAGGATCCATCTTGCGCATACCTAACCCAGCACTCTCGTCATATCAATTTCTTCACCTTTCACACTTTCCCACTCGAAGCATTGAATCAACGATCCCAACGCCAATGTCACGATCCTCCGACCTAATCCGGCGCCGGGACAAATTCTCCGACCGTTTCCAAACGGCATCAGCTTGTAAACGTAGTGCTCGCTGCCGTATCCGTTGTTAAACCGATCCGGATTAAAGCTCTCTGGATCTCTTTGTGTGGTCCTTATCTCTCCTCCCAAACACCCCATGATTATTTGGGACTATAACTACTTTCTAATTTTGCGTACACGATTTTCTGATTAAGTGCATTAAAGTTTCTGGGATGTTCGGACCAACAAAGTTTGGTTACGTTCAGGCTCAGTCTTTAAATTTCATTAATCACACCAATACGGATGCGTACATATTTGGATATCTTCATATAATTGTTATATTCGACTCATTATGACAGCTTTGAATTTTTTTTTTTGAAAACTCTATAAGAAAAAAAAAGAAGAAAAAGTCAATTCAAATTAGAAAGAGAAAACATAAAAGGATAGGTCTTCCTCGGATCTTGACCATGTGTGTTGATACTGACATACATATCATAGGTTAGTATATATATTATTAACCAACCAGATCAAAATTGTGTAGATATTAGGAACGACACTTGTAAGTTGTAATGAAAAGGATATATATCACACACTTGACTGTCGTATAATTAATATCCTGATCATACATGTTTGCATATATACATATATACATAGACTCTCGCGAGTAAAAAAACCCGTATAATCGCAGTTAAACTCCTCATAGTATCTTGTTTTTAGTTAAGTGTATTTTTAAAACACGTGAAAACAATATTGTTTTTAAGTGTATTTTTAGTCGGAGCCGATTTTGAAAAAAGCTCGTGTCCTGTGTACATGGACTCTCTGATATCGACCTGTGACCACTAGCCCGTATATACGTGGGTGGCGGTAGATACGTTTAATCAATGGTGGCAATAATTCCAATCAGAAGTAACCACACAAACATTATCCCTTGCATTATTACTTTACCTCGGGATTATAAACTGATTAGAAAAGGACATATCATATTCAGGTTAGAAAATTTGGATCAATAGTCTTTTTATGACATTCTCTTTAGTATATTTAAAACATAATTGTATAGTTTAAATAGGCTAAGTATATGTCGATATATGACAAATTCACTGCAAAATTATAATTTTAAATGGCACTTTTAGACTACAAAAAGTAAATCAAAAATCTAACTAGATTGCGAAGTAGTTTAGTTTCAGTATTTTTACCCAACCCAAAAATTTCACCTATGCTATTAGCACAAAATAACCATAGTTCATCTTTGCCACGCCATTCTATACCCGTTTTCCTCTGAGTATCCGAACCATTTCTTGGTTAACCTCTTTAATCTCAAATCTCTGACTTCACAGAATTGTTGGGCCCATCCTTTCGGTTCAATGGGCCTAAAGCCCAGACCAGGAGTCCGATCTCTCGACTTTGGATTAGAAACTCTGGTCCAATCCACCACGTATGCGGACACGCGCCGCCTAAACTTGGCCTTGAACTCCGGCCACGCCTGGTACTTGTAATGGTTCACCACTCCCTCCTCCGTGTCCGCCACGCGCCACTCATACTCTCCCTTCAGGCCGAAGTGGTGGATCGCCGTGTACAGCGAATGCTCCACCGCGCTCAGCCGCACGATCGATTTGTGCCGCTGCTCTTCTTCTCGGCGACACGTGTACCCTTGCGTCACGCCACCACGTGGATGCTCCGTCTGATTCGACGGCCCAAATTCGAGCGATTTAAACGAAACCTGTCCGATCATGCTCTGATCCGACGGTAGAAGAGATTTAATCATCTGATCCGACGGTTTAGATTGTTTATCCCAAGCCGGAGAGAAGAGAAACTCGTCTACGTCGAGGTACATCATCCAGGTGCACGAATCTTTTCCGTACATCGCCGCGTGGGAGAACCCAGCTTCCTGCGTTTTGGGCCAGATCCACAAAACTTTCGTGACATCATATCTTTCGCTCCTGAGCAGCTCAACGACGTCGTTTAACTCGTCGTCGCTACCATTGTCGTATATGATGAATCTCTGTATCCCGATCGTCGCGTGATACATCACCCACTCTCTCAGATACTTTGCTACATTGTACACCATCGTCGTCGCGCACAATAGCGATTTCTCACGCGACTCCGATAACCTGCGCTTCGGGCTAAAGTACGCCACCGAGGGGACGGTCTTCGTCGCTTCCTTGTTTGTTGCCACCGTCTCGAGGTAGATTTTGACCGGGTTATCGATCGTTTCGTTCGGGAACGGGCATCGAAAAACCTCTTGCACGGAGCTCGTCACGGCGGTTCTAATGGCGGAATCGGATTCCTCGCCGAACACGCACCGAAACGACTCTGGAGGTTTGTTCGATCCCAATCCGCGATTCGGCCCCTTGACGAAGAGAACGACGTCGTTTTCCGTGGAGATTGCTTCGAAAACAACGAAATTCCACAGAGGGAGATCAGGCCATCGTGATTCCGGCGAGATTTGGAAGGATTTGGAGGAGGCGAGGATAGGAGTCGGAATCGGGTGGTGGTGGCGGTAAATCCCTGGAAGGCTGCATCTGAATGCCGTACGATTCGTGAAAGGGAGAACAGCGGTGAACCTCGCCGTGGATTTCTCGCCGTTAGGGTAAAAACATGTGTAATCCTCCCCTGGAAGCGGCGGCATAACCTTCTCCTCCGGTGAAACGATCACCAGAATCTCCCATCCTGGCCAGAGAACAGCCTCGGCTCTGATCCTGCGAATTGATTGGTGATGGCTCGAATCCTGAGCGTTGATCACGTAATTGACGATTCCAGATTTAGCCTGGCGGGTCGTGGCAAAGAGAGCAGCGCGAGAAATGGCGTTTGGGGAACAATAGAGAGAGAAAAAACCGAAGAAGGAGAGAGAAACGAGGATGAAGAAGAGTGTGGTGGTGTGTGCTCTGTAGCTTTTTTGATGGAAGAATTGAGAATCGTCTCCGGAGAATGATTTTGGTGTTGATCGATTCGAACAAGGAGAATGAGAAGACGAAGAAGAAGAACAAGTCTTGAAGGATAGCGTCATTTTCGATTACGTATCCAACAATTAACTTGTTTTCTTCATTATGTTCAAAAAAATATCCTCTCTCTCTCTTTTTTCTTTTCATTCTTACATTATGTTCTTTGAATTAAAGAAACAAAAAATTCGACGACCAAACAGAATGGAGGAAGGAAGACGAATTCTAAAACCCAAGAAAATAGCAGGAAAAAACTGACGTTACTGAACTGAATAATAGCAAGACAATTGCAAAATCTGATATTAATAAATTAGCTCGCTTAAGATGTTTTTTTTTTCTTTTTATTTATAACATTTCTCGTTCGCGTAAGATGTTTATAATGGAGTGATATGCAAACATCTTTAGCAGTTTTATAATTTTGTCAAAGATTAAATTCATACACAATACAAATTTCGACCCAAAAAACTTCATACAATTTTTAGAAAAAAAACAAACTTCAGACATTTTAACTACGTTTTTTTCTTTCTAAAGAACATTTAAGTTCTAACTATGTTTTACACACGTTTACACTGAAGGGGTAAGATATTTCTTCACATACTTGACAGCTCTGTTATGAAAATAAATGTATATACTTATTCCATATACGATTCGAACATTTTAGGGGTATCCGATGCAATACACGTTGATGTAAATTGAATCTAGTTACACTTTGCGCAATTAATAATTTACGACCGTGCTGACTATAAATGCATGCATATATATGATGTATCCCTTATTCTTCGAACAGATAGGTATTCGAATTCTGGCATCCCATGAATCTGCTTCCTTAATTAGTATTGGCCATTTCAAACATAATTATAAGATTTTTCAAAGCTTCAAAGAGTCGCTTGGTGTCCAATTTGGTATATAATTTGAAAACGTAGGTGCTACTTTAAAAATAATCTTTTCTTTTTTTACTAAAAATAGTCATTTACATTTTTATAACATCACATTTTAATTTTTGTAACAAGGGTCAATAACATAACAGTTTTGACAAAGTAAATATTATAATTTAGAACATATTCTTTTTGACATCAAATAAAAGAACCATTTACATGTATCGAAAACCCATTGACATAAAGCTTTTACAATCGCGTTGAACGTAGCTTCACATTGCATCGCATGCATAATCTTCGTTACCCGCGAAAACAGAAAACTAACATAAGCCTTTGAAACCGGTCGTGACCTTATCATAATGGGCCGAAGCCTGCCAAGGCCTTAATAAAGAGCAAGGATTAATAAGAACTTTCCAACCATTTCATCTTTCATTTTTTTTCTTCTTTTCCAAAAGAAAAACAGATAAATGGTAATACTGTGTATAGAAAATCACTAGGGTCATCTAACCCCACGGCACCATCCAACACTTAGCTCGTCAAGACTCCAGATTTTAAATTATTTTTGAAATCTTTAAATGATATTTTGAGTACTACCTAACCTCACGTAAATCATGTGTTCACAAAACTGAAGCTGAACTTCGAGAGACTCGATTGAGGAATAGCTCGGCCAAAAGTGTGATTGTGTTACTGAAGTAACCGATTAGAACATTCAATTTTAGAGATACTTTTTAGATATTTTTTTGTTAAATATCTTATCAATGATTATATATAAACAAAATTTATACGCATTTTTATAATAGTAATATTCATAAAAAATAGCAATTTTTTTTGTCGCAAATTAGCAATATTTATGAGTTTTTATTAATATAGCTGAAAATTTTGATTATGTAAGTTGAATAAATAATTTTGTACTAGAAAAATGTGAAGAAACCATATTTCAACAATAGAAAATCTCTGTTTACCATTTTTTGCTTACAAGTTTCTGGAGTTGGATTGTTTTATAAAGTTTTAAAGTGATTTCTGTATATTCATGTTAATTCTGATTTTGGATAATATATGAAAAGAGATGCTTTTTAAATTTACGTAAAATATGTTAAACGTTAAATTAGCATTTAATTATTTTTCTTGTCATTAATCATACACTTGCTAAATGGTAAGCGCGGTGAAAAACCAAAGGAGTTAGAGCATCTCCAAGAGCACTTCATATCTTCAAATTTGAAGTTTTATGCACTCCAAAAGAGACTTTAAATCTTCAAATTTGAAGATCTGAACAGTGACACTCTATATTTGAAGTTTTACTATTCAGATCTTCAAATTTGGAGATTCATCTTTTTTTTTGCATTTTAATCCTTATAATTAACTATCTTTATAAATAATGACTTTAATTATATTTGTTTATCATTTTAATTTTATAATATGTCTGATAATTATTTCATATATATTTATAATTGTAATTTTTAAATACAAAATTAAAAAACAACTTCAATTTAAAACATCACATAAAAAAATTACAAAAAGTAAATTACAAAACACATAAATATAACATAATATTATTATACATATTTATTAATACAACATAAAGTTCTAAAAAAAATTACAAGCACATATAAATATTACACAAATTAAAATACTACAACAACACTAATAATCAGGCAAATTTGATCTTGAATCTCCAAGATCACCAAAATATTGTCATATATATTTGGAGTTGGAAGTTGTTGTTCTTGAGTTCTTTTTTGTATGATTTTTGCATGATATAATGACAACATGCATTATAATGTATAACATGATAATTGATGATGAACATGATATCACCGCACCGATTAGAGACGCAAGAGCAGCATCAGAGGCAACAGTTGAAATGGCAATCAATGAGAATACCCGATTTCAACAATTTTTTGCTCGTAATCTACAGATAAAAAATAAAGAAGTATATTTATCACTTTGAAAGGCATTGATTAATCATATATGAGAGTATACGAAAATAATCAATGAATAATTTAATATTCTAATTTATTTTTTCTGATTATGTTTGTGTGTTTTTTTATAATATTAATAATATTTAATTAATTAATATTATCTGTAATCTTTTTTAATATATGTTTTATAGTTATTTATATTATTTAATGAATTTAGTTAATTATGTTAAAAAGTAAGGATTATAATGCAAAGTAGAAAGTTTTTGAAGTTTATTTTGAAGTGTTAATCTTGGAGAGAAACACCTAAAACTTCAAATTTGAAGTTTCTGGATCTTCAAAAATGAAGTCTCTCTTGTAGATGCCCTTATAACGTGCTAAAATTTTTTTTACAAAGAATATTATAACGTGCTAAAATCAAAATGCAGATGCGGTAAACAAATTAATGGGTTTTAGACTTTTAGTGACAAATTAGTTATACAATTTGAATACTGAAATTTTTTCTCGATATTAGTTTTATTTGTACAGAAAAAAATATATATGGTATTTTAATTTTTTAAATTGTATTGGAAACTTGAATACTTGATAGTTGATTCTTTATACTAATCGAGGATTAAGTGACGACATAACAATCGCATTTCACATGCTTGCTGTCACCAAGGTGTTGTTCTTTTATATATATATATATATATATAAAATTTTATCGATACTAAATTATAGTTTATTATATATTAGGTAGTAAGGTGTAGTATTTAATCGATTTTTTTTATAAAGAAGTTTTTTGTGTTAAAAGGCTTAATAATCGACAAACAAGTTTGCTATTTTTTTTACGCGGTTAAGAACTATGTTAATACTTCTATAGCTAAAAGATTAGTCCTAGCTTCTTTAGCTAACAGCCATTCCGATACCATTTCTTGAAAACTTCAAGAAACTGTAGCTACAATGAATAGTAAAACTATCTCCAACTATAGATTCTTAAAATTTTGATAAATTTATTAAATATTATATAAAATAAAAATATGTTAAAAGAGGAAAAAGAGTTCTAAAAATTAGAAAAAAAGTTCTTAAATAAAACATTATAGATATCTTCTCTCTTTTTTTTAAGCCAAAGTGTCTAGCTAGCGACCAAAATAACTATGTCTATTCATCGTAAAAAAAAAAAACCAAAATTATTAAGGGAAAAAACTCTAATCTTATTATTTCCACAAGCAGTGTATATATACATTACATAACTAATGTATCAGAAACCCTAATGGACCATGAGACATTAACCTGATGGTTAATGGGCCGGTTACTAGAAGTCCATTTGTTTATAACACTCCCCCTTGGACAAGGTAACCGTGCCTGTCACAAAACCGGGATCTCTATAATGCGCTGGGGAACGTTGCCTCATTAAAATCTTACCAGGAAAATCCAGTGGGAAAAACCATGGTGAAGGAAAAAGAGTACAACACGCATTACTCCCCCTGGTTTAGGCATCACTGTAGATCTCTAAGTCTACGCATTCCTATCTGATGAATGAGCTTCCGGAGTGTAGAAGTCGGTAATGATTTAGTGAATAGATCGGCTGAATTTTCGCTTGATCGGACTTGCTGAACCTTGACCTGACCATTCTTCTGCAGCTCATGAGTGAAGAAGAATTTGGGCAGAATATGCTTCGTCCGGTCACCTTTGATGTAGCCGTCCTTGAGTTGAGCGATACAAGCTGCATTGTCTTCATACATCACCGTAGGCTCCTTATCTTCGTCCATACCACAAAATGATCGGATATGCTGAGTCATGGACCGCAACCAAACACACTCTCTACTAGCTTCGTGGATGGCCAAGATTTCCGCATGGTTGGATGAGGTAGCGGCAATAGTCTGCTTCATGGATCTCCAAGATATGGCTGTTCCTCCATGCGTGAAAACATAACCGGTTTGAGACCGGGCACAGTGCGGATCTGAAAAATATCCTGCATCAGCAAAACCAACTAGACCATCCTTGTTATGGTTAGAATAAAATAATCCCAAGTCCTTAGTACCTCGAAGGTATCTAAGGATGTGCTTAATACCGTTCCGGTGCCTTTGAGTTGGACACGAACTAAAGCGAGCTAAGAGGCTCACGGCAAAGCAGATGTCTGGTCTAGTGTGACTAGCCAAGTACATTAATGCTCCTATGGCACTGAGGTATGGCATTTCAGGACCGAGGATTTCTTCATCGTCCTTCTTTGGACCGAATGGATCACTATCCAATCCAAGGCTCCTCACAACCATTGGGCTGGTCAATGGGTGGGCCTGGTCCATATTCAATCTCTTGAGTATCTTTTCAGTGTATGCCAATTGATGCACAAGGATTCCGTCATTGACGTACTCAAGTTGTAATCCCAAACAGAATTTAGTTTTGCC